ATAGCTCAGATAAAACCAAGACTTACTTCTTCCTTTAGGGACAACCCGAGCACCCCACTGGCTACCTAGTCAATCCCATGTTCTCTTTATCCCTAGATGAAAAATTTATAATCACTACAGATTCGAGGATGAATCCTCTCGAACAAGGGGGGATGACGCAATACCAATTAAGGACATGCCTAAACTGTTAGAAGGAAGGAAGAGGACTAGCATTATTGATTTCCTAGGGAATAAAAGGAAGTATTTCTGGAGTGAAAGTTCTGAAGATGGCTCTATTCTTAACCAGGTCTCAAAAAACGAAGCAGAATTCATTAGACGAGATTCCTAGCCTAGGAAGAAATGCCACCAAAAGATGCCAAAAACCTAAAGAATAATGGGTCTCAATACCAAGAAATGACTCGCCTCAAGAATCCCAACCTAAGAAGATGCCTAGGATGTTGTCTAGGTATGGGTACCTGTGGGGTACATATGTGTGGCCCTTCATGAATGCAGGTCATGACCTCAATATGTTCTGACATCCTACCTGTGAGATAGCCAACTCGGGATGCATGAACAACGGGTGCCATACACCATATAGCACGACCTACAATAAGAGAGGACCCCAGCACACATGAAAGGTCTCCGACACATAGATGGACTTATTCATGCATATGGGTAGAACACCCGTAAGACTTAGTACACCAAGCATGTGAACACGCACGCGCGTGTGCCCCTCACACGCATGCACGCACGCACACACGCACGCACGCACGCACAAACACGTAATCTCACATCACACACGCAAGCGTTCAAAATGTGCAAAAGGCATACGAAGCAACCAGTTGATTGGGTGCCTAGCCCATGCCTCGCATGCCCACAACAGGCCAGCTTGTGCACGCTCAGGTTCCACAAGCCTAGCACATAACCACACTTGCGCGTGCCCAGCACCAACAGTGCACATAGGCCCAACCCATGTTGGCAGCCTATCCGCTTACCCAGTAGGGCCTCACACGAAACTTGCGTGTGGCCACACAAGTCAACCTGCACACGACCCACGAGAAGCAGCTCACACACACGACACATGAAACCTAATCGGAGCAGCCCGTGTGTAATACTCTAAAATTCTTTGAGTTTAATTATTGGGTAAAACCTCTAATTATTTAGGCCCTAAGGCCATTAACTCTTTAAATTTTATTTTCTTTTAAAATTTGAATGAAAATGGGTTTAAAATGTTAATTTTATATTTTACAAACAAATTTAATTTTTTTGCATTTATTTTGTCCATATACATATTTGTTTTTATCATTTATTAATTTAAAAATTTTCAAGGAAAACGGCAGAAAAATCTTACAGAAAGGGTCGCAAAAAATTTTTTCCCTATCCTTGTAGGCCCTGTATATTGTGCACTCAGATGTGCCCATGCATAGCCAGCAAGGACGTGTGCCTGCGTGCACGTTCCATCTGAGTAGAGTGAGAGGAGTGCAGTTTGTGAGTGCGGTAGGCTTGGGTAGTGGGCGTTGCCCTTGGGCAACGTACATCATCCCTTGGGGGCGTACCCGTCCCTTATCATGTGTGTTTTTTATTTTTTATAACGCCATTGCATCGACCATCCATTAGTCACGTTCGTCAGTCGTCACATCACATCAAGCCACTTTTTTTCCTTCCTCTCTCTTCACAAGATTTTGCCACTTGGTAGAAATCCAACGGTCCCCATTTTTTATAAATAAGGACCTTTTTCCACCATTTCTTTACCACTCCAACTCCATTCTTCCATCCACCAAAGAAATTCTATAGAAGAGAGAGAGCTAGAGTGAGAAGATGAAGGAATAGAAGAAGGAAAGATGTAGGGAGAACCTTCAAATTTTTGGTAAGGAATTTGGTATTTATGTTTACATTTTAAGGAGTATTTCTAGAATAATTAAATGAAATATTATTCGGTTGGTTGCATGTTTAATTATTGTTATGATTTAATATTATTTATGTGTATGTTGTATATTAATGCATGTTCATATTATATGTATAGATAAGTAAATAAAGCATATGTGATGACATGATGAAGCATGATACTGTATCTTAAAAATGAGAAATAGTTATCGATATTGGCCCGCATGGTTTATAAATGACATGATTCGTTAGGTTTTTTATCTTTGAGGAATTTTTTATTTTTTCCCCATCTGCTCTGAAAAGACATGAGAGGACCGCTCCTTGTGAATGATGGCATACCTTTTGATGAGAGTGGTTATGCGATATGATTGTAGAGGTCACCTTTAGTGATGTATAATTGTGACTATAGTTTACATGTAGGACCACTATAATTGGCACGGCTGTGGTCATAGATCGTGTCATGGTTTGACAAGCCGAAATGTATTGATGGTTTAGTAAGTCACAAATTGATGATATGATATTATTAATTTGTAGGGGATCATAATATTTTATTATGCTGCATATAATTATCTTAAATGCACTTTATATCTATTTTTGTATCTGGCACCCTTTGCTTTAATTAGTATTTGGGATGTCACACCACACACCTGCTCCCCGTGACCCACGCGCCCTCCATGGGTCGACCCGTGAACCCAATTGCAGCCAGCCTCCTTGAGTCCTTCTTAGAGTCCTCTTCAATTTCCCCCTGTGTTTTACATGGAAAACACACAGTATAAATTTAGCCTTTTTTAATATTATTTTTATATTTATTTTAATGTAATTTCTATCCCTTAGGATTATTTAATTATTTATTTAAAGTTTAGATTGGGATAGATTATTATTTTATTATTCTTTAATTGTTTATAACCGTCTAGAAGTATCCCAGGAAAAGCTTATATAAATGTTTTCACCCAGAGGTTGCGAAAACAATTCAATTGAGAGAAATAAAATTAAAGCTTTGGCTCTTTTTTCAAGAATTAGCTTTTTTTATTAATTTCTTCAACTTCTTCAAGTTCTTAAGAGGCTCAGAGCTTTCAGAAGTCTTATTGAGCCGGAGAGTGGGGATAAACTTATTAATAAGTCTGTGACATTTTTCCTTTCATTGTATCTTTAATTCATAGTTCTTATTTTTGCATGCCTTTTATGTGTTATAGATTCATGTAGGGGGAGGGGTATTTTTAGGCGGTTAAGTTTCGATATTACATACATTGTGTGGGTTATAGAAATTCATTCGATCATCTCCATTATGACAAAGTAATCCTCTATTTAGTGTTATATACTCTTATGGTTCATGAATCTATACAAAAAGGGGAAGATAAAACTCCAGGCCTAAAGGACAAGCCCATGAAGCTTTGGATTAGGAAGGTAATAAGTTTGATTCATCCCATAATAAACAAATAACTAACATTCTCGAAACTCTAGAAGCACATCTTTTGAGACATCTTAGAAAAATATCTAGGCAAAAAGCTCTATTAGGTGTATAAGCCTCAAGTAGTTCATTCTTTTCAATCCTTTCAAGATTGATATAAACAAGGACTTTAACTCTATATGGAACTTTCAATTTCCAAAAAGAGAGAGAAAATGAAAATTTAAAGTTACAGAAAATTTGTAATACTAGTTTTTAGTTGATTGTATGACTGCTAGATGGATTAAATCTTTTACCCTTTTTTATAAATAAAATAAGAAATTTTATTAAATCATATGGGGTGAGAAAAGATTTCAAAGATGGAGAATAAGTTATCCTCTTTAATAACTAAATTAAAAGTAAAACCATGTGCAGAAAAAGAGACATACCATTCATTAAGTTGAGTACTGGTTGGTTAATGTTTACATTATTATTTCATGTATTTATTTACTTGGAATATTTTTTCCCCCAATAATTGGTTGTTATTAAAGTATTTATTTAGTGTCTATAATGGGGTTGGTGTGTTATTTTCTTGATATGCAGAATAATATAAATGTTGATCAGAAGCTGAGGCATGATATTCCCTGGCATAAAGTCACTCAGGTAGATTTAATCCACAAATTCTTACATCATATTCTTATTTGAGATTCATCCTTGTTGCTGAGAGTGAGCATTTTCTCCCTAATTTTGCAGGTGATGTGTCACTATGTGGAAAGGAATAAGTATGTTTACATATTTGAGTAAGTGTTGAAAACTCATTAAAAAACTTAGTAGAAGATGGAGGAGTATGAAGTTGGCTTAATTTTATCAGCTTTTTAAAAGTTCGTCAAGACTTTCAACGGAAAAATACTTCATGGTAATTTTGAACATTTTTGTATAATTTAAGAGGCATTTTGGTATTTTAGAATTTGGAGAATTGAATTGTTATTCCAACACTAAAAGATTAGTAAGAGGGATTGTTCTGAAATGGTTTTGTACTATTCTCAATGAATAGAACTTAGTCTCTCAGGCAATCTTATCTTTGTAATCTCTTTGTAATAACCGAAAATACATTGTAAATTTGAATGTCTCTTTATGAAAATTTAACTTTCCTTTATATTTTTTATTTTTAAAATTTAATTAAATAAACTATATTTATGATTAATTAAATAAAAATGGTAGCAAAATGCCACGTGATTTTGAGAAATTTCCCTCAATCCAGAAGACTGCCCCTAGTATATTAAGTCAAGAGGGACGGGAATTTTTCTCCCAACCCGCAAGTTAGGGTTTTGTCTACAATCAAGCGAGCACGTGGGACACAAATGGCCCACGTAACTGCGGACATATGGGCACGCAGGAATGCAGGAACTATCCGCATACAATAACTACTACAAGGGCACCGGCATGCGTGTACATGAGCCTCACAGCACACGTCATCGGGCGGGGGATATGCTGATACACGACCTGGCCTCCACTTTCTTATTTGATGGGACGTCTCAACCACCACCAAAAGTGGTGGCATGCAACAGCATGAGTTGGTCATTTCCCAGCCAGATGGTCATGTTTAGGCCATCAACCACATCTGGTCAACCACCCAAAATGAATCCTATGGCTAGGATCACTTGCATGCGATCCGATGGCCTTGAATTGATGAAAAATCCCTCATAAAGGGACCTTGTTTCCAGTCTTCTTCTTCCTCTAGACTCGAGAAGAGAGAGAGAGAGAGATAAATTGAGTGAAAACCAAAAGGAAAAAAAACAAAAACAAAAAAGAAAAACAGAAACCAAAAGGGAAAGCACGAGTTTTTGTGTGCAGAAGTGAGTGATGCCTTCTTCTCTTCGAGAGGTAAGCTTCTTCCTTCTGTTTCTATCTAATTCAAAGCTTCATTCAATAACTCATCTTCCACCTACAGCTAACCTAAACAAAACACCAGAAAGCTTCAACAGAAGCTATGTTTTTCGTTGGAGACAAATCCAACGGACTGTTTCAGGTAACCGTGGCTTTTCCTTTCTTTTTCAACTTCCTTTTCCATTTTCCTTAAATTTCTAGGACAAATATAAGTTAATTTAAGTATTAAGACTTATGTAAACCAAACACCCTTATGAAGGAATCACTTCAGACCGCGGGTTCGCTTCAAATTGTATCTGACTCTGCAGGTGTTGTCAAGGTGACTTGTAGACCGTTTTACTTGCTTAGGAATCAATCTTATCATTCATTTGGATTCTAGTTTTGTATACAATGAGGTAAGGGTAGTAGTAATTTATTAAATATGAATAATTGCTTTTATAGATGCATATAATCGGTGAACTTGCTTGAAAATCAGGTAGAGGTTATTATTTTAAGTTAAAAAGAAAGGGTGTGTCAGCTCATGCATGTTTTTGATGTTTAATCTGCAATTAGATTAATGAATGATGTTTTATGATGTTTGTAATTGATTAAAATGGCATTAAATCGAATTACATGTGATCAGAAATGAGGAAAATACAAGGAATCAATGAAAGAGTCCAAAATTGCCTCTGTTCATCTCTGTCAAGCCCCAAAGCAACGGGAAAGAGGGCAGACATGGCATACCCGTGTGCTAGGTGCACGTGAGATTCTTCCCAAGCACCCAAAAGCGCCGACACAAGTCCCTGGCACGCTGCAAGAAGGCAAGAGGCCCTGTCAGGCGCCCTTGTTGTGCCAAGAGAGACCACGACAGGCACTAGGTGGCGCGCAAGTGTGTTTATGCACATGCACACGGGACGTGCGTTTAGGTGCCCGAAAGCACCGGGACACAGCCTCTTGCATGCTGCACACCGCAGCAAGCCCTATGGGCTGTACGGCTTTGCTTGGCACTTGCGCGCTGAGAGAGCCCGGCGGATTTGCACACTGTGCCATGTATGAGCATGAGGGGAGGGTTGGGGCAATCCCCCTTATGGGAGCTGGATCTCCAGCAGTTTTGCGGGTTTAAGGAAAAAAAAAAAAGTATGAAAATGAAGGAATCGCAAGAAGGAAGAAAATAAGAAAAGGAAATAGAGACAAAATTTGTAATTCAAAACTACTAAAAATATGGCTTTGTGATAAGTAAATTAAATTAAGATAAAATGAATAAAATAATTAATTTAAGTAAAATTAAATCAAAATTTATACTAATATTATTTTAATTAAATTAATTAATTTAATTAAAAGAAAAGAGCCAAATTACTAAGGAAATGAAGAAAAAATAATTAAGGGATAATAACTGGGAAGTTTAGGGAGAGTTAGGTCTAAGATTAGTTTAAAATAATAATTTTTAGAAAACAAAATTAAAGCGTCTAATCAAACTTAAAGAATCAAGTGTCAAATTAAATCTACCTACCCTATGCCTTGGAGGGGTTATTGCATTGTATTATTTATTGTCAGAACTCTATCCTGTGAATGGGTTGGTGATTGCGTTCCACTTAAAGGGGAGTTAGATCGAGGGCATTCTACTCTAACGAAAGTTGGATCGGTGATATCTCGCTCTGAAAAGGGTTTGAATGATGTCGACCCCAGTGAAATATGAGTGATTATAATTATGGTACCGACATTGTTATCGTATTGATATTGATATTAGTTGATGATCCCCATTCATTGTGGTAGTGGTGTCCCTTTTGCCCTCCTTGGGATTGGGTATAGGTGGCTTTGTGGAAAGGTATGTAATCAGTAAAACTAAAATTAAGATAATAACCTGTATTAAAACTTCAAATATGAGCATGAGTCCTGTGTGTGTGTTGGGGAATTGATTAAATACGGTATTGTAATTGAA